TTGCGGAACCGGGGATTGAACTCAGGCCTTTGCACTTGCCAGGGAAGCACTTATTCCACTGAGCCATCTCCCTGGCCCCCAGCAGGGAGATGTTACTTTTCACAAGCTGACCATGACATTCAGGAAATGAAAATAGTAGAATTACCAATCTGAAGATCCACAAACTAGAAAAAGAAATCAGTTATTCTTGTGGGAAACCATCTCAATGTTATTGGTAAATTCAGATTGCCTGTCACACGGGTAACATCACTTCTGGGAATCAGATCCCAGTGGGTCTCTGGGCTTAAGGGAATTAGGCCTATGCTAATGGCAGAGGAAAGAAGGACATAAAATGAACTGGGAGCTGTCCCGTGCTACAAGACATTTATAGCAACATGTGTCAACATCAGGGAATCCCTCCTCCTGGAATCCAAGAGGAAGTTTCTCAAAACCAGCAGGGAAAGTTGCCTTCCCCACACCAATCCAGCTTTGGAGACATTGTACTACTGACATATGCTCCTTCCCCCAAAACAATAGTGAAGTGTTCTATGTGCTAATAACATAGCTTAAAAAAAGTAAAACAAAATTCTGCACTTTATAAAACTTGATAAAAAATAGTATTTCAAACTGTGCAGTCACCAGTACACAGTTATCAAAAATGCACACACTTCACTTGGCATCTCCAGCACTTCAGCTTGTTGTGCCTGGTCTGTTTTGGCATCTCCATTTTCTGCAGGGTTATTCCCATCCTTGCTGACATTAGCTTTCTCTTTTTCCCTTTGGGTACCCTCTCTCCCTTCTCTGCAGGGGCCTTTTTAGGGTTGGACTCTGGCTTTGGAGGAGCTGGTTTAGCAGACAACCTTGCAGATCTTCAATGTGGTCCATCCTTCACCTTGGCTTTATCACCTTTAGCATCCCCTTCAGCCTTTCCCTTGGGCATGGTGGTGATGGTGACTGGCCACAGGTGCTAGACACAAGATGCAGTAGTACACAGCTTTGGGCAGCCCCGGGGTTCGTCTTCGCTTCCCTATTATCCTCTTAAATATATGGAGCTTTCAGAAGCCTATGCTGTAGACATGCACTTCACAGAGTGCAGGTAGTACTCCCTTACTGCAAAAATTTATTCTACATAGAGGTGCTCAGTTATTCTTGGTGTTTGGTGAGGTGACTACAACAGCGGCTGTCCTTTGGTTTGCTCCTATGCTTAGTCACCTTGTAACCCTTGTTGAGACCCATGGCCATGGGGAAACAGCCATTGCTGCAGCTCTTCAGTGGTTGCTGCAGCAGAAGGCTCATTTTGTTCTTAAAGTTCAAGGAGATCTCTGTCAGTTGGTAAAGGCAGGGATGTAGACAGTGGTGGAGTGCCTACCTAGAATATGCAAGGCCCTATATGTAATCCCCAGCACTGGGCACGCATGCGCAGGCGTGTACACACACACACACACACACACACACCCCAAAACAAACAGAAAAACTGAAAACAACCTAAAAAAACAGCCCCTGGTATATGTAATTTGTGGCAAAAATGAACCCAACAAAGAATAGCCCTTGCAAAAATACTTTTGAAAACACTCTAAATGAATAAATGACTATAGCCTTCAACAATCAAGATGAAAAATAGATATTGGACTTACTAGATAAATACTTCAAGTTACCTGCTAGAAATATACACTAAGAAAGCTAAAATGGGGGCCGGCCAAATAGCTCAGAGGATTAAAGCACCTGCAAGCAGGGGCAGGGGTCCGATCCCCAGGCCTGCTGTGCCAGCCCTGCCCCCAGGGCACACTGAGACAACAGTTGAGACTGGGCATGGTGGCGTGCGCCTGTAATCCCAGCTCTTGGGAGACTGTAAACAGGCAGATCACTACAAGTCCGATATATTAGTAAGACCCTGAACACCCTGTAGACCCTTCCCTAAAATACAAAAAAAGGAAAAAGGAAGCTAAAATGAAACTATGAAGAAAAAACTAAAGGAACCAGAAAAATAAAATATATGAACAAAATAGACTATCGGGCTGGTGAGATGGCTCAGTGGTCTAAAGCACCTACTTAGAACAAGCTTAGCAAAGCACAGGGACCGCAGTTCAATCCCCCAGCACCACATGCCAGCCAGCCCCGCCCTGTGGGGAATGAGCTGGCCACACACACACACACACACACACACATAAATAAAAAAATTTTAAAAATCAGACTATCAGTAAAGGAACACAAATTTTAAAAATGAACCAACTAGACATTCTGGGACTGAAAATACTCTGAAATACTAAAATATTTCAGAGTAAGGTTTCAACAGCAGATTTGAGCAGGAAGAAGAAAGAATCAGCAAACCTCATGGTAGGGTGGTTGGAACTATCTAATCTGAGGAGCAAAAAGGAAAAAGTTCCAAGAAAAATGAACAAATTTAATGTGTATGTGGGACCATGAAGCAGATGAACATATTGTGGTCTAAGAAGGACGTGAGAGAGATGGGTAAGACAACCTAAAAACACAGTGGCTGAAATCCCCAAATTTGATGAAAGACATGAATACATCC